TGGAGGAATATTGACTTTAATCAATTGTGAGATGATAAGGATGGGATCCCAACCTGCCTAATGTCTCTATTCCCTATGCCATCAGCAATTGAGAGGAAAATTAACACACTATGTCAGTTTTGGGAAGGTAAATCAGAAAAGACAAATGCTGGCAAGTGGTTATGAGGAATAAAGAAGCTAGAGGTGTAGGAGTGAGAAACCTGAAACTCCATAATAAAAGACGTCTACTGTAAAGGGAGTAGATTTGCTATATGCAGCAGGTGATTATTTTGTGAGAAAAAACAAGCATCTCCAAACCATCTATTACTCCATTGTAAATATGATGGACAGATTTGGACCTCTTTTTTAAACATTTGCAGAGTGTAATCGGTTATGACTTACAGTGTAAGAGGTCTTTTGGAAGGTAGACAAAGTCAGAAAGTGGGCAAAAGAATGAAGAAGAACTGGAAAACCATCCCTTCTCTGCATCATGTGACCATTTGTTTGGAAAGAAATAGGAAATGTTTTGAAGGCAACAGCAGTCATATTTCCATTGTAGAGAATAGATGTTCGCAGAATTTATAATTTTGGCGTAAAGAAAGTGTAGTTGAAACCCAATTTAAGTATTTGGAAGTCTTGAATAGGCTGAGCTGATTATGTAACAGCTATCCCAGAATCTCTTTGCTTGTACTTTAAAGTACCTCCTTGGTACTTTTTTTCCGACTAAAATGTAACCTTTTTTTAAACTAAAAAAAAAAACAGTATCAAGTTTAACGATCTTCTAAAAGCTGATTACATTAGACCAGCAATTTTTTTTCTTTTTTCATAAGATTAAACGCACAAATTAATAGACTTTGGTCTCAGACCAATTCCACGCTGTGCTGGACACTAAATCCATCATATCGTCTCTTTAAACAACTTTTTTTGGTTGGTGGATGAGGGGATGATAAGTGTGTCTACACAACTTTTTATTTTTTCATTTTTGAATTAGTAAAGAGTGACTACACAATTTGTTACATCATAAAATTTAACTATATTGTTTCACCGGAGAAAAGGCATGCATTAAGCAGAACTTCAAACCGTCTGTAGCAGCTTTTCACTATTGAGAGTTCAGCCTTCATTGTACTCTTTCAGATAAGAAATAAGATAAATTCCCTAGTCTATTAAAGGGATTCTAAATCCATTAAATGTCATGTTTATATAAGCAATGCAACAAGTCTCTGAAGTATAAAATTGTGTAAAAGCATGGGAGCTTACCTATGAAACTCGACGTAGCGTGTGAAACAGTGCCTTGTTTGATTGGTTGTTGGGAACCTGAAATCAGCTGGAGCAGTCTTAAGTTCAATCTGAAAGGCACACAAAGGAGAAGGAAGAAACAGAATGTCAGTAACAAGTACCACAGCTCTACAAGTAATCCAAGTGAAGTAATAGATTCACGAAGTAACAGAAAAAAACCTTAAAAAGAGAAGTCATAACTGCCGGCCATCTTCCATTTTTTTTATCAATTTGTTTTTACCTTTTATCAATATATTACTGAATACGTCAAGAATGATAAAGTTTTCCATATTATGAAATGGAAGTTTTCTAAACACCAGAATATGCAGAAACAGATGTATACACTTTAGAACTTCAATCAAAAGCAGATCTAGGACGCTGCACTCGGTCAATTTCTGAAGCGGAAATATAGCTCACAACGAAAACCAACATATTTAGACCAAACTGAAAACACAATCGAGAAACTTCATGTAACAGGTAAACATAGTCACATTATATGGAAAGGAATCAGATAAAACAAAAACCAGCCCAAAACAAAAAAAAAAACCGCGATGCTGAGAACGTCACAACCAATCATCATTTCGTTAGACTTCTTTTCCCCCAAATAAAGCTACCCCTTGGAGAACCGAATCCCCAAATATTAAGAGCATTAATACTTTTTTACCCACTCCAAAGTTCTAAATGATGACTAAATGAGCCTATAAATACTCAAGTATAAGTGATTCCTTGTCCTCAAAAGTGAAAACCAACAGCAATTTGTGGTAACAACACATTACCAACTCTTTAAACGCAGTGACACTTAGCAACAGAGAGAAGCTTAAGCAGTCATTTCCACTGACAGACCTCGCATAATATCTATAGTGAAAACTTTGAACATGTTATTGGCCTTAACTGAATTGTTAACCTGAACACAAATTCAACTATCTTATCACCATCTCACTAAAAAACAAAATACTTGAAGCTTATTGGCAACAAACTGACAATTTCTATAACTCATTTAAGCTGGAGATTGAAACCTCAAAACTCAATCTAAATTGCTGCTAAAGCTAAGTACTGTTTCACAAAAGTGCTAAAAATTCTTCATTCAATCACCATTTTTTTATAACAACGGTGTCCTGTCAACTTGCGTGCGCCTCGAAGATTTCACATGGAACCTGCTACCTCCGACGACCAGCACAGGTACCGGGTAACTCTGCCCACCAGGCACCAATGCTTAGGCAAACCATTCGATCACCATGCAACATTCCAGTCGAATCCAATACCCTAATCCTTTAATTACGCGACCTAGTCATCCAAATTCAACTTACTTCCCCTTCTTTTAGTTCACATTTATTTTGTCACATGAAAAAGGCTTGGGCCAAAAACTATTACAGACTTCACACCTTTCCATACACCAATTTGCATATTCATCCACAACCTATAAGTCCAATAACCTCTACAAGCAAATTCTTACACACAAAAACAAATATTCCCAAACACAAACACACACACATGAGTGCACGCGCGCACACATATATCTGAGCAGATATACAACAACTAAAAATAACCAGCAACATAGGTTCTTCAAAGAACTGTACAGATCGCCAATAAAATACAGAAATTTTCTAAAAAATTGAACTTTTAATTTAATTTACCATATATCAATTGAATTCTTTTGAATCTATGAACAAGAATTGAATTATTAAATACGAATAGAAGAAATTAAAATATAAACGATTAAAACAAAATAAAACTAGGTTTTTTTTTTCCTTGGAATAATTTTGGGTTACCTCGTCGGCCATGGCTGATGCAATCAAGCGAAAAAGAGCAAAGCTTCAACGACGACTGAAAATGGAAAAAAAAATGGCTATATTATTAATAAGGGTTTTGATTATAAGTTAATATAATCTCGGATCCGATTCCTATGGTTTACCAATTCTGATATGTTAGTATTTATTTTATTTTATTTTCCTCCTCATTTTACCCTTTTCTTTCGTTTTTCCTTTTTTATTTTTTTTATTTTTTTCTTTTCTTTGACCGAAAAGGTATTTTTCAATTTAGTAGCTAATGTAGCAACATTAGGTGACTCAACCATTCCGAGTTGCCCAGTTGGTTTGGAGGGTGGTCATCGATATATATGACCTGGGACCGAATCCCCCTCAATGCCTTCTAGGTTGAGCATGTTGCACAGGGCTTGCCTAGTGTAATTTATATCTCCTGTGTGGTTTGTAAGCTATTACATAGGGGATGTTTACCCAGTACACACAGAGTGCTCAGCACAAAGTACTCACCTGAAGGGTAGAGGCTATGGCAGAGGTTGTAGCAGCTGCGGATTTTTCCCCCAAAAAAAAAAAGAAGCATTAGGTAATTCTTCAATCTGTCTAAATTTTGGTTGGCAGAGTTATTACATACATGTTTACAATAGAATAATTGAGGTTCCATAAGTTTACCTGATACTGTAATCATATTAAAAGAATAAAATTACATGTTGTTGCTTGTAGTATTTTAAGTATGTACTAGTATTAGAGCTCGCGCAACGTGCTATATTAAAGAATAGTAAGCATTCGAGAATATTAGATCATATGATAAATATTAAATTCTCTTACTCTTAATTTTTATTTTTATTTTTACAAATTTATTCTATTGGTCGGAGTTCTTTCACAATGATTTACTATAAAATATTGTGTATTTTTCTCCATGTTATGATTTTGGATTCGTCCAACATACTTCATAAATTCTTTTATTATTCTTTCATAAAATCTACCAACATAAAATGTTACTATAGTTTTCACAAATAACCACGATTTTTGATAATTTTATTTTAGTATTATGTGCAATAAGCAATAAATCTTTTCTTCTCTTTTGCTTTTTTTTTTTCCAAACATAAAAGTGCTTCCATTTTAATTATTAAAATTACCCACATGAAAATGTAATTACATTTAGATATAAAAAATTTCATGTGAATCTTATTTTGTCACCTCGATTTTAGAATGTACAAACTCCTCGTGAATTTGGGAAACATACATTGTGTTTATTCGATGGTCAAGATTGAACAACGTTTTGGCGGACCACTAGAGGATAGATTTGTATTCATATAAGTTAATCATCAACTTTACCTTTTATGAAGTTATATAAAGATTTTTGTTTCAGCTAATTAAAAAATCTATTTATACATATTTACAGCAATAATTAGTGCAAACACCGACTTAAATCTTGAATTCACCTTTGCATACGACTAAGTTTGCGGTATGAGAGTGTACCGGCGGTTATTGGATAACGCAATTTCTTTCCATCTGTTTAAGCATTTGTTGGCAAAGTTACGCAATACTAGTGCTGATCAAGAGTAGGCAAGTATTTATTTAAATGTTAAGGGGCACACAACCAGTGGGGGAAGCAAAAATAAAAACCGTAAACACGCGAAAAAAATAAGGAAATTCAACATCTACTATATATATTTTTTTTAAAAAAATTAACCTTATATACACAACGTAATTTTCGGCGAAAGGGATTCGACTGAACTTACTCCGTCCACCTAGCTCCGCCCTGCGCACAACTAACCCAGAAACCTCTGTCAAATATATAACATGGATTGTGGCAATGTAGTTAGACTCTCATGTCGATCTGAATAAATCATCCTTTCCACGGAGGTAAATCTTTGCGATACCACCATTATGAAGAAAAAAAGTTACTTGAAAATTAGTTTTAAAGGCCATTGCCTATCAAAATCCAACTACATATTGCATTTCTATCTGTTTGTCTAGAAGAGCTAAATCAAGAAAAACCCTTTGCTGTTGAGCCATAAAACAAAGAATTGTCATTCCCTACAACTCCCCTAAAGCCCCCAAGCATGTGCAGGTGAAAATAGTTGACATAGTGAATGAAATGTACAATTCTATTGGAAACTATAATCTTTTGAAACTACTTAAACATTGGTTCAAGCCTGCAAAACCTTACATTGGAGCTACTAAAACACGTAGTAATTTCGGATTAAAATTCTATGGATGCAAAACTAGGTGACATCTCAGAAGATTCAACTCGGCCAAGCATAACAAGCTACACATAGCAGAAAATTCAGCTCCTCGCTTGTGGAGCATCATAACCTCCTCCCCATGTAGCGTTGCCACCAGTACCAGGAGGAGGTGGAGTTACCGCACTTACAGCTATGCTACTTCCATATGGATACTTTCCCTCTCCCATTGTGCCAACCTCCACGGGGATATGAGATATATGATAACCGTCAACATGGGGCGTAACATGCATAAGAGGAGCGGGATACATGGGATCTGAATTCATGTAGGGCCGAGCATAAGGATCAAAACCTACAGAACATGAAAATACTCGGTTTGTATTATGAACAATACAAATATAATAAGGAGCCCAAAACTAGCATATATTGTTGTGCCAAAAACTAGCATACTGATTACCTTGAGCCCTTTTCTCGGCATTCAACACCTCAGCACGCAATCTCTCCACTTCTTTAGCCATGCCGATCAAGTCTTTCTCCATAAGTTTCATCTGCTCAACTTTCTCTATGTTTGAACCTTTTTCATACTCAAAGGTCTTACTGCATGTTCCGAGAAGATAAAATATTAGGAAAATACTCTGTATTTCGTGTCTCGAACAATCATGAATGCAGAATGCAGGGATTTTTACAAGCAAAATAGTCCTTGCAGAATGCAGGGATTTTTACAAGCAACATAGTCCTCCCTAGGCCCCCAAGAGAAACATGGCATGGAAAAGTTTTACCTTAATTTAAAACTGCATCAAATATGCCAAAATATGAACAGACGTAAGCATAAAATCCGATTGAGCTTTAGCAGAATACATACTAAACAAAATTAAGGTTCAGTTATTATTGTTGCGCTCACATTAGATCCGGTGCTATCCACAAGTCCTTTTATTCTAGTTAGGAACTTGTACACTCCGTAGGACTAAATGCGAGATTTAGAGAACCTCTAGTTTTATAGAACCCCTAATTAGTCTTAAAACCGACCCCAACTAGTTTGGAAATGTGGCATAATTGATTGATATTTAGCCAGACACCTTGCCAACAAATTAACCAAGTTTTTTCAAGGGTAACGGGTAGGAGAATTCTTTCATGCTTCCACCTAAACAACAAGTCAAGACAATTAAATAGTAACGACCTGTGGTTATTTCTTTTTTCCTGGAGGAAGGGTTGGTAAAAAGACATGCTTCGACTTACCGCAGCTTCTGGTGTTCTTTCCTTAAGGTATCAAGTTCAGCATGCATCTCAGGTAGCTTCTTGATATCTGCACGAGCTCTTTCCAGTTCTTGCATAGCTTGATGTATTTTTCCACTCAGCTCCATATTGGCTGTTACCAAGCTTCGTGCCTGCAAATGTGCCTCTTGCACATCCTTCCTCGTACTCTCACTAGCTCTAAGTTCAACCTCCATCTTGGCAATCTTGTCAAGCAACAACCGAATCTGGATGTCACTTTCTGCTTGACTACTTCTTATATGTTCTTTGAGTTTCTCTACTTCTCGCTGAGCAGCAGCAAGATCCTGCTTTAAGGCAACGTACGTAGCTGCCAACCGATGATTGTCTCCAGCAAGTTGTTCCAACTCTGCTGCCCGAGCAGCCAATCTGTTGTCCCGAAGCTCAGGAGGAGGAAGTTGATCAATGCGGCGGCGGCCAGCGGTCAATTCTTCATGAAGCACCATTCCTGGAGCTTGTATTGACCGTCCATATGATGCTGGTACTTGTCTTCTGGAGGCCATCTATTCACTTGGCCCCAGAACTAAGAAGGGTCAACACTTGTTTTACGGTTTCACCAATTAGGAAATGTTTACCTGCTTTAGAAAGAAAATAAACTATGAGATTTTTATTTTAAGTAAATGCAGCTTAACAATTTTAGGCTAGGAGCTTAAGTTTCGTAAACTACCAGGGCTATGAATCATAAAGGAAGAAGTAAAAGCATTATTTAACATATAGCAAACAGTTCTGGTAAATGAAACGGTCCCAATAAAATGGCTGAAAACAGAAGGTCTCGACTTTTGCAACTGTAGTTGATCCAAGAAAAATGTTTTGCTCAATATATTTTTTATTTCAGAACCAGCATCCTCCTTTCTGACCTTTCACTACTGGGATCGCTTCACTAAAATTAAATAAATAATGATAGTGGCATCAGGAAACCTTGGAAAACTCAAACCGACTTACATAGCTACACTTGACAAGATGCACGGAGACAAAAATCGAGAGATTGCACCAAGTTTACCTCGCTATACTAATGGATTTGTAAATAAAAAAGGGCATCCCGGTGCACTAAGCTCCCGCTATGCGCGGGGTCCGAGGAAGAGTCGGACCACAAGGGTCTATTGTATGCAGTTTTACCCTGCATTTCTGTAAGAGACTGTTTCCACAGCTTGAACCCGTGACCTCCTGGTCCCATGACAACAACTTTACCAGCTACGCCAAGGCTCCCCTTCAATACCCTAACCAATATTCATGCCAATATAAATTTGGCACCAGGTACTGCTAGTGGTGCTCATGCCTTTCCTCTAAATAATCAAAGTCTAAAAGCCATTTGCAGCTAATGGCTCTAACTATTAGTAAGACACTATTAAGTTTATTTCTCTAAGAAAGTTCCTCGCAGAGCCTGAGAGATGAAAACATTTATTCACCTCATATTTCCTTCACAAAAATATTTATTCTTCTGATAAGACAAGGAAACAGGAAGACCCCGTCTTTTAGTATTTCCATTTGGAGCAACAATTGCATCACGGATCATAAAGACATATCAAAAAACGTATACTGATGCAGAAGATCTAAACCAAGTTTTAGTCATATCAGTAGCAAAATATATAGATAGCTAACATAATTTTCCAGTACTTATTCACTTGATAAGGAAAGAAAGCAGGGACCTCTGGGTTTCGTTATTTTATTCAGATCATAGAGAAATTACAATCTTCAGTTGAACTTCTTCCAAGATAAATTGTAGAATCAATTCAATGTAGAAGATATTGGCTACATTTTAAACGGATGAGGGAAACGGGCAAGTAGGCAAGGAAATTTTTTCATACTTGTACATATAAAGAACCATTCATCACCTTTTAAACATTTTAGCGCCGCCACTTTAAAAATCAACCAAATTCATGCCAAAAACGCAAAGCAACATCTAAATATTTTTAAATTCCAACGATATGTTACTTCAGCACGTCCCGGTGCTGCACATTTCTTAAAAAACTTTTTTTAAGAAATGTACTAATGTTATGGTCCCCTTCCATTACTCTTCAAACGCGTTCCTGTATAGCTAATTTCAACTTCAAATAGCTATGACAATCCAGTTGCTTTCCTAATCGAGCCACACGATGCCTATGCCTGAAGAAAGAAAAGAAAAGCAAGTTTTCTTCCCAAGTATTTGCCTTTATCGTTCCACATCCACTTGGAAAGAAACACTCCCATCATAATTTCCACAATAATATCTCTAGCAATTCAAGAAAACGCTTGCACACTCTGCACAACAATATAGAAAACGGTGCTCTCAAAGGCGAAAAGCTCTAGAAAGCCCTCCACGTCTACTAGGGCTTTAAGCGCAAAGTGCAATTGAAGTGTGGGCTTTAGCATTAAAAAGGCGCAAAGAAGAAAAAAAAAATATATATGTAATCTAAGAAAAAAGTAACAAATTCATTCCTAATGTTCTCCTTAACAACTAATACACTTATTTGTCAATTATATTTGTTGTTCAGTACAACTAGATTCAAGACAGAATGCATCGACAATGAGTGTGCACGCCTTAGTCCCTTGCCTACATTGAAGCACAGCTTAAGTGAGGCGAAGTGCCCTTTCCGAGCTCTTCTAAACTTCAAGCTTGAGCGCGCCTTAAATAACTCTTTGACAACACTGACCGAAAGATTCTCATATATCAATTTTCTGGTGAACATTATGGTCTTTCCTTCTAATTAATCCTTTCATACAGTTGTTAATCCTTGTACAATTCAATCCTTCCAAGCTATACAGCTTTACAAACTAATAGTTCAACTAAGAATAAACACACACTGCATTTTCTTCCCCACGAAGAGAGCGACAAAGAAAAAGAAAAATATCTGCAACCTATCAGGATAATACAAACACTCACTAATTTCCTATCTCAAGAACAACCAACTAAATGTGCATCAGAAATTATTAAACTTAACACCATTGCCTCCACAATGACTTTCCAGAACCATGAGGTTTCAAGTTCAAATCCAGTGGAGTCAAAGAACATTAGGTGACTTCTTCTATCAGCCTAAGTCTTGGTGGGCAGAGTTACCCACTTACCTTGTACCTATATTGGTGGGAGGTAGCATATATCCGGTGGAATATTAGAGGTGCACACAGACACCACTATAAACAATATTATGACTTCCCAAAAAATACACCCCCCACTACACCCCACCCCTCGTTCAGAACCATGAGGTTTCGCGTTCAAAAGCGGAGTCAAAAGACACTGGGCGACTTCTTCCCATCTGCCTAAGCCTTGGTGGACAAAGTTACCCGTAAATGTGCTGATGGGAGATAGCAAGTGACTCATGAAATAGTCGAGGTGCTCGCAAGCTGGCCTTGACACCATCATCATTAAGAAATGACTTTCCAGAAGGAAACACTC